AGGTTTCAGGCATCCCCTGGGGGTCGTGGAATGGATAAAGGGAGAAGGATTACTCTATCTGTCTGTCTGTTTGTCTGTCTATCATCTGTCTATCTATCTATCTAGAGAAGGAGAAAGAGAAAGACATTATGAAGTATTGGCTCACATGGTTTTGGAGACTGAGAAGTCCCATATCTGCCATCAGCAAACTGGGGATGCTGGGAGACTGGTAGTATAGAGAGTCAATGGTGCAGATTCCAGTCACTGGTTCTCTAAAGGCCCGAGAACCAGTCTGCTGAGGGCAGGAGGAAATCAGTGTCCCCGTTCAACTGTTCTGACAGCAGATCCAACCTGCCTCTCCTTTTGGTTCTATTCAGGCCCCCGATGGGCGGGATGAGGCTCCCCCACGTTGAGGAGGCCACCTGCTTTACTCAGTCCACCGATTCAGATGCTAATCTCTTCCAGAAACACTCTGACCCACACACCCAGAAGTAATGTGGAACCAGCCATCTGGGCATCCCCTGGCCCAGTCAAGTTGACGTGTAAAATGAACTGTCACCCTTCTCTGTCACTCCTGCCTCCAGATAGGCACTGGAATCTTCTTCTGCAGGTAGTATGTGTGCTGTCTTGTGGCCTTTCAATAGACACCATAGTGCAGGAAGAGGAACCTTGTGAAATGGTTGATATTTAATTAATATTCAATCATTTTTGACCTAACAAAGGGCAGTTTCATATGGTTCAGCCTAAACCACCATCCCCTGCTGCCAAATACAGATGCTCTTATTTGAGATCAAAGTGAATATTGTTTCTCTCTCACTCACTTTTTCTGTATGTGTGTACACACACCCACACACACACATGCACACACTCACATCATTGTTTCTGCAGGACGTGTGGCTGGTAAGAAGGAGACCAGGGCGCGGATTTACCAAGCGTAGGGCTGTATAGGCGGTTCAATCTCCTTTGGTCCCTCCGGAGTCCCTCTACTCCCTTCCCCAGGGAGCTGCCCTCCGCAGACAGACGCATCAGCGGGGCTCCGTCTTCCACTGCTTTCTGGGAGGGGACCAGAGCGCAGGGGGAGGGAACTTGGGGACATTTATCCCCTGGCTGCTTCCCTGCAAGGCCCTCTACCTGTGGCGGGAGCTCCCGCTCAGTGCCCTCTCCCACAGCGGCGCTGCCCTTTGCCTGGGTCTGTAATGGGCTCCCCCCCACCCCCGGGCTGGGGTGGGTGTAAGAGCTCCCTTTTCAGTCCTGCAGAGCTTCACCACCTGGTGGTGTTTTCCCTTCACCCCAACTGTGCGTTTGTTATCAGCCCCTTCTTCAATAGTCTCTCAGTTAGTAGTCACTCCAGTTACCCCTCTGACTCTGCCATCCATCCGTTTTCTCCCGGGACCCTGCCTGCTAGAGTTATTTCCTGGCTGTGACTTCAGTTTGTGCATGTGTTAACTTCTGCTTGCTCTGTCTGGAAGTCCTGAGGGTGCATCTGCAGGCTTAAGGAGTAAGACTTGGAAATGCCCTCAAGAAAGAAGAGCAATGAATACATCCGTAAACGATGCTTATTTTCACGTCTAATCTTAAAACCAGTTGTTAATTATTAATTAAGGGCTTTTATTTTCACTGGAAGTTTTAAAGAAAAAAACTGGCTAAGTTTAGCTTCCTCATGAAATGCAAGACAATATTTAAACATTTGTGAAATATAATTAACTTTCACTATTATTTTCCCTTTAATTATTAGCCACAGGCAAAACATTAACTCAAATACAGTACAGATTTGGAAGCTAATCTTTGCTGGTACAAGTGTTTTCCAGTATTTAGTTAGTCTTTGCCTGTGATGTATGTAATTAAATGCCATGTAGAACGGAAAGAATAAATAACCAAATAAAATATTTTTAATACATTGGAATGCTCATTTCATTCTCTAACTGCATGTTAGCTTAACCTCCCAAAACTAATTCATTGCTAGAACAAACATTTACTGTGCACTTGTATCAGCATTTGCTCAGTGATGTGGGAAGTTCAGAAGATTCGTGGGGAAACATATTCTGGATTCTAGAAGACTCCTTGACAGTGTCACAAGCCCATTAAGCATTGGTTGGTAAGAATCAAAATGAGAACTCAAGTTTAATTGTCCTTTGCAGAAAACTGCCCCACAGTCAGCAGGTACTCCTGAGCCGGCCAACCAGGTATTAGAAGGCACAAAAAGAGCAGTCTTCCTGCCTCCCTAACAAATTGTTCCTTTTTACTCTTGAGTGATCAGCCAAGTTATGGCTTCAGGACTCTTTAAAATAAGCTAAGAATAGTCAGCAAATAAAAGTACATATGATATTTCACATCTCTGTCTGCCATCCATTCAGTCCTCACAGTATGGTGTAGGAAAACCCTAAAGATGCACGCTGGGCCCTCCGTATTTAATTACTTTCTGAAAATATTCAGCAAGTGCACGTAAAGGTATTACAAGGCCGTATAGAAAACTATCATGTAGCCTCATCTCCCCAACTCTTTCCAAAAACAGAAGCTAGTTTTGGTATTATTTGTGGGAGATTTCTAGGCTCTGTGTGCTTGGGGGTCAAGGGAGAAGGGGAATGGAATATTAAAACAAGAAGATTGGACTGGTCTATCAAGACAGATATGCCCAAGGAAATATACAAAGGAACAGTGACTACTGACAAATCTTTGACTCTGCTAAGAACCTAGGGCACTTAAAGATTCCACAATTATTTATTAAAACTCCATGAAAGTGGTGGCTTTTTAAGATATTAATGGAGCTTATTCTTAATTTTTGGCTGTAATCAAGGGAAATGGGAATAATTTTAGATGGTGAGGACATCTAATTAGAGTTATATTTTTTGCTGTTGTTTTTTGTTGTTGTTGTTTGTTTTTTGCTTTTTTTTAATTGTTCAAAGTAACTTACAAACCTGGAATAATATAATAGAAAGTTTGAGATTATATATATATTATCACACAAAAGGTCAAAGTTAGTTTTAACAGTATTTGACTCCATTATTCAACCCCAGTTTCAGGGGCTGATGTAGAAATTTGACATATTCTTGGCAATTCCTAGATTGGATTCCTTCAACTACTGGCTCCTCCACTTGAACTAAGCCAGAAAACGATGACATAAAATTGTGTATTCTTTTGATATTTTTGCTGACCACTTCCTCAAAACCGTCGAGCTACTACCTTGGAGAAACATTTAACACGTCTAGTGTGTTCAAAGTCAGCTCTCCCTGGGCTTCAAATTGGTGCTGTGCTTCCTGGCAGCAAAGGTAAAAGGGAAGTCACAGTAAATTACGCAAATTAACTCCTCTGGAGAGACAAAATTTCCCCTAGTAATAGATTCTAAAAAATGTCTGTTTAGTGGGAAAAAACCCACTTATTTTCTTACTGCAAATGTTAAGGATTTTATAAACACTTACACTCTTTTGAAGTTGTGGTTCTCAAGGAACAAAATTACCTTAATGGCTCTTCATTTGTCACCTCCAGAAACCAGTGATTTGAGTATTTCTTTTATTATGATGTATTAGAACTTCATGAATAGGGAATCCCTACAAATAGGCTATCCTTTGTGTTAAATAATGAGAGATGGGAATACATTGAACAGCTTGACCTCTGCTGACTTTTACTTATGAGTGTGAAGTGTTTTAAATTAGACTGTGTTAGTATTGATGAAATGTGCACAAGAGGGAAGGATAATTTAAAGGCTTTGTTCCATTTGGGAAGCTAGATAAATTGTGTGAGTTAAAAAGAAAGCACTGTGACCTGGCAGTAAGGAAACAACAGCTCTCACAGGCTGTTGGAGAGCTTGAAATTGGGGCACCCCTTTTAGAAAGTGACGCAGTAAATGCTGATCACGTTCACAACGCATTGACCCATTGACCTGGCAGCTACACACGTAGATTAGCATTTGCCCCTAGATAAACTTGTAGGAGTATACACCAAAGTAGATCTACACAAAATAGATGTATATGATTATGATAGTATTTTTGAAAAAGAAAAAGAAAAACATTACAAAAATAATCTAAATACACAACAATAAGGGAATGGTTGAATTAAATGTATATTCATTTAACGGAACACTCTAAGCCATTAAGAAGTATAAGGTCGTTCTGTATGTGCTGATATGGAGAGGACTGCAGGGTGGATCAGTAAGTAAGCAGGTAAGCCAGACATAGGCCATTATAATGTCTCTTTTGGATAATTTTATAAAAAATCTACATATATAAGTCTATATAGATATATTGATATTTATATCAGTTTGTATGTTGAAGAATCATATGCATCTTATCCATTGTGTACTTACCTTGACTTCAGCAGTAAACATGTAAGTATTGGTTTTGGTGGGGAGAGGTCCTAGATGGCTGTGGATTGCCGGATGTGTTTTTTTTCATTTGATAGCTTTTTGTACACTTTGATTTTTCTAACCACGCGCATACCTCTATCTTTTAAAAATATCAGTACGAGTGTTTGGAAATAAGCCTTTATTGTTGGTTTGATTATTAGTTTGGTCCACTTCAAAAACCCAATAAGTAATATTTTACAAAGTAAAAAAGCACTCGTGTTGAGGTTACCAAGGTCACGAAGCATGCCAGCTGAAGGAAGGGCTGTATCATCAAGAAATCAACTCAAGTTGTCTGTGGAATATTCTCATCACAAACAAACGTCAGCTCCTGCAGCCGCCGTCCCCTCACTGAGGGTGTGTCTCCTAGCCATGTGGAGGATGGGTCCTCGTGGTGTGGGACAATTGGAGGCATTATATCTACTTCCCCTTCTGAGCAAGAAAATTTGAAATCTGTTATTACAATTGTTTTTCTAGTCTATGGTAAGAGAACATACTACAAAGCAAAGGTCTCTCTAAACATGCCTTTGTACTTCGTGGATCTAACCTTGACTCAGAATGGGGAGAAAATTTGTTGTATATTTCCCTTGGACCCAGTAGTTTAACACAGCAGACTCTACTTTGGAAGCGCTTCCGAAAAAGAAACAGTAGAATGACTGTCTTTTGCTCTTCTGAATCTTTTCAGAATTGCGACTTCTGGTGAGCCCCTCTGTGTGTCTGAATCAGAGCATACAATTAAAGCTGAGTACTTCAAGTCACCTTTTAAAAACAGCGAAGACACATATGTGGAAACCAGAGGACTGGAGACGTGAACAGCTGTAAGCTAATCATTTTGGATTGTTATATCAAGCATGCATTTTAAGAGACAGATAAGAGAAAAGCACCGAACAGATCTAGGGGGTTTTACACGTTTGACTTATTAGGTTCCATTCCATAAATTTCCTGCTATCTCTTCTTAGTAAAGAATGCCATCATTGATTTTCTTCTAGACTAATTCAAACCTGTCCTGCCGTAGAGTAAACATTTGGGTAAATTAGACTCTTATCTAGGAAGTTACATTAATGGAAATTGAATTTAAAACCTGGACAATGTGAAACTATAAAAA